CTGCAGCAAGAGTACTGACAGGGACTAGAAAGAGAGAGCATATTTCTCCTGTTTTGGCTTCCCTTCATTGGCTTCCTGTTAAATCCAGAATTGAATTACAAATCCTGCTCCTCACATACAAGGTCTTAAATAATCAGGCCTCATCTTATCTTAATGACCTTGTAGTACCATATCACCCTATTAGAGCACTTCGCTCTCGCACTGCAGGCCTACTTGTTGTTCCTAGAGTATTTAAAAGTAGAATGGGAGGGAGAGCCTTCAGTTTGCAGGCCCCTCTTCTGTGGAACCAGCTTCCAGACTGGATTCGACTTTTGTTGTGATTTGGTGCTATATAAATAAAATTGAATTGAATGTGGATGTGTATTTTCTTCATTTGTTTCTTACCCCAGATCTGGGTGGTCTCACGTGAAGCGAGTATAAAAGGAAGCCAGCTGCAGTTGTAGGTGTTGGTTAGTGTGTTGGTGTTACGTTTTATTCGAGCCTGCTGTCGTCTCTTTAAATCCACAACTGACCGCTGGCCAAAGTGACACAGCTGTAACCAGTAAGGAATCACATATTTTCCTCTCGTGAGAAATGGTTGACAGGTGATTTGAACGCACAACCTTCCTGCAACAAGGTGACAGTGCTAACTAGCACCACAACACCACCAATGTACAGAACTGAACTAAAATGTATTGCATGCTTTTAATTGAAGCAAAACATGAAAACAGTAGAGCTCCTTTGAACATCTAGCGGGTCACTGTGTGGATGAGGGCAGCTTGTGTTCCATGATGTAGTTAAGGTCTCTTCAAGTACGTGTGCAAGGCTTAAACGTGTTCACACATGCAGCCGCTATTTGGAAGTTTTCTGTGGTAACAAAATGTATGTGGACGCACAGGAAATGGGACTGTCTGGTTCCTCCTCTAACTCAGTTGTGGTAAAGGTCTCTTCAGGACTTTGTGGCTGGCATTCACTATCAATTATAGGCATCCCCTCCTGGATCTCGGGATGTGATTGTGACTCCTGGTCCTGTACTATCAGGTTATATGAAGGGTTAGGAAACACATCATTAATTGGAAAAGATGGCAAGCCTGGCTGAGATGTGAGGCCTGTAGTGGGTAAAGTAAGGCATGGCTGGAGTTTCTTCAGAGGCTTATTGTAGTAACCTTTGGGAGTCTGAGAGAAGGTAAAAGGCATGTAGTCCTGGCCAACAACAGGCTGTGGTGGTCTGAATTTATCATGTAGTTCAGGAACATCCAAGACCTCACTGTAGTAACTCTGATCAAAGGGAAGATGACGAACTGTATGTTCATCCTGAAAAATAGAGAAAATGACATCACATTCACAGGAAAGACATCTGGATCCATATCGATTATGATGATGCACTATACAAGGAAACCAATAAATAACAGAGTAGTACAAATGTGTAGTGGAGAGATTTAGCATTAGCTAGCTAATGCTATAATGTCCAAAACACTTCAAATGGCTCTAAAAGTGAATCAGCAAAAAGTGAGTGTGTGCAAACATTTGAATACCCTGTTAATGCGCCCAACTCTACATCTGAAATATATCTGAGAGTTAAGTTGAACTTAAGTTTGGCACCAGAAACTAATTGGTTAGATTTAGGAACACAAAAAAAAACTTACCGGTGATGCCAGCCACTTTTCAGTCAGCACTGGTTTTGGGATTGGAGGACAGACTTTGTGCTTGATGCTGTTGGGAGAAAATGCATTAAAATAAATGTCGGACAATGATTGGAAGCAAAAGTGGACAATATTTCACAGAAAATGTATATACATTGCTTACCATGCCCATTGTCTGTAGCAGATAATTGTGCTGACAGACAGAATAAGAAAAACTGCTCCCAGGGATATCAAGATCAGCATTATCAGTTGATCAGCTGGTGAAAACAATGAATCACATCAAGTAATTCAAAGAAAATGACAAATGTTGACAGTCTTACTAAAGAAAATAGTCCATATG